CAGACAAGTGACCAAGACAGGGCAGGGTAGGATAGGGTAAGTGAGCATTGAAAACTTCATCGCAGGAATAGGAATAGGACTAGGCATGGGCATCAACCACTGCATGGAGACATCCAAGGCCCTCCTTTCAAATCAAATCCAGGGGTTCTTCCTTGCCTTCTTCCTTTCCGCGAGGCTCTATTCTTCACTTCATATTACCATCCCTTGTTCTCATCGTCACCCTCGCCGTCGCCATCGCCGTCATCGCCGTCCTCCTTCCGAGTCACTTGCCCAGGTACTTATTCAGGTATTTACTTCCCCAATCTACCTATCTTGTTCTTGCCCTCACGCATTCAAGTGACCCGCGTGCTCCGCTTGGTCGTTTGGGCGTCATGATCTATCGCCGACCTTCTTAGTATATAAGTCCCAACTTCCCAAGCTCTCCTAGAGTTCTCTTTCTTCTCTCCTCGTCAACGTAGGCACCCGACTTCACGATCGACACGAGTACAGCTTTCTCGACTTTTGTCTCATTCCAGCTTTCTCACTTCAACAGCATCTCGCCTTCGTTTCTCTAGCAACTTTGGCAAGTCTATTGTAAGTTCTCCTGCTTCATCTGGCAATCCATCTAGTAGAAGCTTGTCATCTTCCCCTTTGCTCTATTTGATGCCCCTGGGCCATTCCTATCTAACCAGCATCGGATAGATCCCTCGACAGCTTCAACTTGACACCATCTCGTCTTCGTGCCATCTGCGATTATAACAAGTCTCTTGTAAGTTCTCCCCGCTCCATCCTGTCGTCCATGCAGTAGAGGTTTGTCATTTCCCTAAGATATTTCCCGACAGATCCTGTTAGACATGGCGCGAATCAAACAAACAACTGGCAATGCCAGCCCCCAGCCTCCTGGCACCTCCGTTAAGGCAGGAGTGTTTGACGCAAATGGCATTTGGCGCCCGACGGAGTGGTACATCCATCCTGACGACGTATCGGCCGCAGCCTCCGCCGCCCCCGCCGCCCCGGCCCCGGCCCCGGCCCCAGCCCCGGCCTCGGCTGGAAACATTGAACCACGCAGCACCAGTTCAAAGCCCAACGTACGGCCTACCACCCGTGCAAGTTCGCGCCTATCCATTGCTAGAAAACAGTACGCACAGGCGCAACGCAGTTCCTTGCGGACTGCAGTACGACGCAGTATATTGGACCTCGAGGCCCGAAAAGCGAGCCGAAGAGCCGCGAAATCCACAGCCAGGATTGCTGGCAACGAAGGCGACGCCGCCCCCCCTGCTCGCACAATTCGCCCGCAACGAAAGCCTGCCGATTTAAAGGGCGACGTTGCGCCGGAGGAACCTGTTTACGCCAACAAAGGTACCCTCTCTGACGCCATTGTCGTGTCCTCCAGCTCGGAATACGAGACCACGTCGGAATCTTCTGGTTCCGACTACGAAGACTCTCAGGGAGAGCCCCCCGTCAAGGGCCAACGAAGCAGGCTCCGACAGGCTCGCAATAGTCTCCAGACCGCGCCCCGGCGCCCGGTAACCCGCTCATTGTCCGCCCGCAAAGCTGCAGCTACAGTTCGCTCCAAGGGTGAAGAAATGTCACTATTTGCACCGGAAGTGACTCCTCGACTCACACGGAGTAGTAATTCTCAGCGACGTTGATCCGTTTGCTGAGCGCTTATATACGACGTTCCTCTCGAGTATGTACTATTCCGCCGTCCCAAGCTGTTGTTGTTATTTCGTGCCCCATCAACGCCAGATACAAATTCACAAGAGCGTACACATTGAAACATCTACTAACCATCACCGCAAACCTAGGCAAAGCTCAAGGCGACATCTTCTCAAAGTGCCATCGGCTTGGAAGCAAACAATCGTTGCCAAGGCACTAACAACGCTTACCTCTCAGGCGGCCAAGTTCGAAAAAAAAGGGCTTCCATCGCATTGTTTTTCATTCGGAGTTTTTTCTTTTTTTTTTTCACTCGTCATCGTTGCGCGCAAATCGCCATTGCTTTTCCTATTGAGTCCTTACGATTTCTCTTCTCTACAATCCGTTTCTAGATATCTCACCCACTGGCCAGTCTATCAGCCAAGACACCAGCAGAGAGTGTGAATACTGAAACTTGGGAGGAAACGAAAAAGAGGGTACTATCATTGATTGCTGGCGTGTGGGATGTTGTAAGTCTCATTATCTAGTGAGCAGCATCGAGGAGAGGCTCTGGTAGAATGTTATAAGTCTCATTATACAGTGAGCAGCATCGAGAAGAGGCTCTGGTAGAATGTCATAAGTCTCATTATCTAGTGAGCAGCATTGAGAAGGGGCTCTGGTAGAATGTTATAAGTCTCATTATACAGTGAGCAGCATCGAAAAGAGGTTCTGGTAGAATGTCATAAGTCTCATTATCTAGTGAGCAGCATCGAAGAGAGGCTCTGGTAAAATGTTATAAGTCTCATTATATAGTGAGCAGCATCGAAGAGAGGCTCTGGTAAAATGTTATAAGTCTCATTATCTAGTGAGCAGCATCGAGAAGGGGTTTCAAGCATGATTAGGTAGCATCATACAGGGGCAAACGACAAGGCCTTATAGTTCGGTCGTTGATGCAGACTGTTAGCAGTCTTCCAACTGATCCATTAGCTATCCCTCGTACTGATCATCAATGCCACAAATTCCACCATTTCCAACTGATGAATTCCATTCATTCGTGTTTGCTGATATATAACAATCTCTTGAACCTGGCCTTTTATATTCCAATCTCCCCTATCCGGTTCATGTGTGCTGTATCCGTTCTTGTGCGCTCCCTCGTCGTGCCAATGAGACCAAAGAAACATTTCCAACTCCAAAAAGAGGGTAAAAGGGGCAAAAGGGGCAAAAGCGAAGAAACATATATATCCTCCAACATCCACCTCAATGTTTCTTATAATGCTTTCCGTCCTCCAATAGATCATCCCAGGGCTTTATCCATCCCCACCAACTGGTCGGGCAGGACTTCCAACAGTCCACCCATCCTTCGTACCTCCCATTCAAAAAGTCTCGAACGACCAGCTTGGCGGCGGCGAAACTCTCCTGTCGCAACACCTCCGCTCTAATCTCTGCCACGGCATCCGGCAATAAGATGGTCGCAAAAAGCCCCATCCAGTGGATCTTGGGGATGTCTCGGGCTGGCTGGCTCATATCCCAGAGCCGGCCGGTAGCCGGGCTCCTCTCTTCTCCCAGTCGGGCCACCAGGCCCATGACGGCGCCATTCAGCGCCGCGATGCGAAAGGCGCCGTCCGCAGAGCATGCCTTGGTGATGTGGTCCATCGCGTCTCCGGTGAAGGTACGGGCGATATTTGCCTTCTCGAGATCAGCGTGCGAGGACGACGATGCTGCTGCGAAAGAGGCAGCTCGAGGGAGAGCAGTCTGGTGCTTGTCTGTGTTGGTGCCGAGTGGCTCGTTGCCGGACTCGGGAACTCTCGCCCGGTGGTGCATGCGTGGCGGTGCCGACTGCACTCGACTCAGGCGGAGAGTCATCGGCAGCTTGTCTTCTTCTTCGCTGTCCTGGGGCGTTTGCTGGCGCGGGCCAGCAGACGTGACGATGTCGTAGCCCCAGGTTCGCAGTGGCGACTGCGGAGCCGATACGGTTATGTTGTCGTCTGGCTGTTGTGGCTGGGAATCAGACTCCGTCGAGTCGTAATCCCATCCATACCAGGTTGGCAGCTCGCGGGTCGACATGATGTTGTAGTGAAGCTTGAACGAGGTATATTGCGAGAAACGTCTCGTTAAGCAAAGATAGGAGAGGTCGAAACGAGGTTGACTGTTTATTGCGTTTCGAAGCTCTCAAGGAAGCTATCCCTTGTACAAGGAGTATTCTTCTAGAGAACGTGTGGTCAAAGATAGAGAAATTGTCAGCTAGCTTTGAGTGTTGTTTTGACCGTTCTGGAGGGAATATCTTGCCAGAAACCTTGGTCTCAAAGATAGAGGAATTCTCAGGTAACTTTGAGCGTTGACTTGACGGTTCTTTTCAAGGGAATATCTTGCAAGAAAACTTGGCGTTCAAGGTAGAGAGATGTTGAGTGATGATTTGAGGATACGTGAGGATACGAGAGGGTTGTAAAGATCAAGTGGGAAAAGAAAGAACAGAGCAGGTAATGACAGCTTTATAACTACAACGATGTGAGTTAAGCTCTGGGCAAATCAGCCACGGCCTCGTCATCGCCAGATTGAATGTCGGCAAAGACGCATATAAATAACAGAGATGGCGTGTTTAAACAAATAACCCGCATCATCACCACAGCAACAAACCATACAAACCATATCCGGGTCGTTGCAAAACCTTGAACGTATACACATCACCGGCATCAACTCAACACGGGATGGCCGAGCCACGTCTGGCATCAGAATTTAGGAAGCAGAGTCCGCGCGACGAACCTTACGGACTCCCGAGTAAACATCCAACATGGGAGCAACGACGAGGTTCCCTAAACCGACGCGTCGACCAAACACCAACCTCACATCAAGACAAAAACTTAATCCTGACGACGTGACATGGGCTTGGAGAGACTATATAGACTTTTCTCGGGCTGACGTAAGGCCCGAGATACCACCGTTTGGCAATGACGCTGATAATGAAGGGATGCTCCTCGGTTGTTGTCATATGCCGTCGCGTCGTATGTATGTATATACATATACATATAATCAGATAAGCTCTGATTTTGTTACCGTCACGCCATCATGCCGTGACAGTAGTGATGGCGGCGTCGTTGAGCCGGCTTTCCCTACACCATACCAACCCGTTCTTCTCCTTCAACGGAACATCGGTACATTTTCAACCCCGGCGTTGCTTCCGCAGTTTCCATAATATTCCAAACTCAACACCGCCCCAACAACAAAAAGAACCCTTTTTTTTTTCAAAATAGAAACAAGATTTCACTCTCTGTGCGAAAGAAGAAAAAGAAAAAAGCAAAAAAAAAAAAAAAAAAAAAAAAAAAAAAAAAAAAGAACCACGACAACAATGTCGCAATTACATACATATATCCCCATCAACAAAAGATAACGGGCTTGGCCGGGGATTGAACCCGGGACCTCTCGCAAATTGAACTTAAAGGGTATCACCCTAAGCGAGAATCATACCGCTAGACCACCAAGCCAATTGTTGTTTTTTGTTTTTTTTCTATTCCGATGTCGGATTGTGCTGTTCCGTGAAGCTAGTGAAGCTCAAATTTGAAAGAATCCTTCGCGGATTCCCGAGACTTGCCCGGGACGTGCACAGTAACTAGATAACTCACGGGAAAAGGCAGGGAACAAGGAAGACAAGTTCAATTATCATACGCGTGTGATTTACTTGTGATCTACTTGTGAATTGCTTCATGTATATCACCTGTGACTAAGACGAGAGAGATCACCGCCAGGAAGTGACGTTGAAGTCGAATTATGTTGCATCAGACGTGGAGACGCGTCCGGCAGTGCCAAAAGCGCGTCGAATGAACTTTATCATTATTATGGGGACATCCCGTCGGACCGTTTGCAGACCCGTTACAGCTGTTCGCGCTCCGGCAGTCGAACATCAAGATTTACCCCTAATTGGCTGCATCATAGCTAAAACCGTCTACCTACCTTACCCATCCCGAGGGAATCTCCCCCTTTTACCTAGCTAGGGCACGTTGTTGTTCGTTCGAGTGCTGGGTAAGTAATAGGTAGGCAGGTAGGTAGGGAACTAATGCCACACTCGTCAAGCATCCAAAACAGCGGCACATCCATTTGTAACTATTACAGATCTAGCACCCAGCTTCATCCAACATCACGGCGACTTTCACATACAAAAAGTCAGAATGGCCATTCCTTCTTTCTCTCTTACCCTGACATCTCACCAATACTATGACACACACCTAACACCGCGTTCTATCGATTCCATCATCTATCGCTTCAGGACTATAAAGTTCAGGACTAAAAGGGATGGATTCCAAAAGAATGCTAGAAAACTGAAAGTGTGTCCCAACCATATAATGCCCAGAATAGCCCTCCTGTACAGCGCCTACATGAGTAATGTCACCGTCACCGTCACCGTCACCGTCACGCTGGAACTCGAGTATCAGAAACCCGGGGACATCCCTATAGGTACCTACCTCCTACCTACCTAGGTAAAGGTAACTTGGCAGGTACCTGACGAGCCATGGAGAAGATGCTTCGGAAACGAATCCCGCGCGTAAAGCAACCGTATGCATCTCGGCACAGCACAAGTGCCGCGAATTCAGGGGGTTTTTTCTTTTTCCTTCATCTAAGAGTTTTTGTCTTGTTTTAACGCACAAAACTTACAAGTATCAGCAGAATCTAACCTTAGACACTTTCTAAGAAACCCTCTGTACCCTACCCCTATCCCTACCTCTCCCCCAAACCCATCCTCCGAAACTCCTCAATGGTCCTCTCATAATTCCCCACCGCCGCCCTCGCAGTCTCCAGCTTCCCCCTCTCCACTGCCTGTACACCCTCACTACTCTTCCCAAAACTCTCCCTACCAACCAATTCCTCCTGTTTTCTCACCTCCAGTTCCCTTTGCCTCAGCTTATCCTCCAGATTCTTGATAGCGACATCCAAATCAGGAATAACATCGGCAACCGAAAGCCGAACAACAATATCCTTCGTCACAACAAACACCGCACACCCAGCCGGTATATCGTCCTCAGGCCCAAGGACCGTCAACTCCCCAAGGGCTTTACCACAAAGAGTCTTAACAGATCCCACCTGCGGTGCCATACTGTCCCTCGAGGCTTCATCCACTGCACTGATAAACGCAATCCCGCCTTCCTTGACGTTGTATTCATTAGTGAGCGCACGTATCGCTCGCGCACATTGAAGACTGAGCTCGTACGCCTCAGCTTCCGCTTCAAAGCACAGATCCGTGTCTGGCGTCGGGAAGGGCGCCAGCATAATAGAAGGCGGCTCCGAACTTCCAGACGCGTACGCCATCCGCGGAAGACGCTGCCACAACTCTTCCGTAATAAACGGCATGAACGGGTGAAGTAACCTGAGCGCGACATCTAAAGCCCTGTATAGACTTTGTTGCCCGCTTTCCTGCTCCTTTTCGGTTCCTGTAGACAACACACTCTTGCTATGTTCAATGAACACATCGCACAACTCGTCGTAAAAGAACCGCCGAGCAATCTTCGTAGACTTGAAAAAGTCCCTGGCCTCCAATGCCTCGTTGAGTTCCTGAACCGCACAATTCATCCGATGTAGAATCCACTTTTCCGGCGTCGAGAGTTTCGTAAGGTCGAGTTGAGCAACAGGCTGGAAGTTCTCCGGTAGTCGCCCCATCACATACTTGCTCGCCTGCCAGATCTTATTGCAGAACCGCCGATTAATCGCCATCGATTCAACATCAAAGCTGATATCGCTGCCACCCGTAGTATTCGAGAGAAGCGCAAACCGCAGTGCATCCGCACCGCATTCCGGTATTCCACGGGGAAACGTAGTCTTTTGATATCGCATTGCCCTCTTAATCTCCTGTTCCTTCAAGTTCCCCGTATGGAGCTTCGCGTGAAGCGACTCGAGATCGATGCCACGAATGACATCGAGAGGATCGATGACGTTGCCCAGTGACTTGCTCATTTTCCTGCCCTCGGAATCTCGAATCAAGCTGTGGCAGTATACCTCGCTGAAAGGTACCGAACCCGTCAGCTTCAGACTCAGCATGATCATACGGGCCACCCAGAAGAACACTGCGACATCCGTCAGTTTCGCCGCGTCATTCATTTGAGGCCTCGGAGATCACGAGTTCGTAGTGCTGGGAAAGGGGGACTTACTAATATCCCATCCCGTCTCGAGCAAGCTAGTGGGAAAAAACTTTTTGTAGTCCGGAGTTTCATTGGGCCATCCAAGAATGGCCATTGGCCACAACCCCGAACTGAACCAGGTGTCGAGACAGTCCGGATCCTGCTCCAAGTGGAACTTCTTCCCGGGAAACGCAGATGTCGCCTTCGCTTCGGCTTCGTCCGGCGTCCGGCCGACAACCCAGTGGGATTCATCGTCCTCGATCGAAGGGTCCTGACCCTCCATTACCACACGATAGGCAGGTATACGATGGCCCCACCAAAGCTGGCGGGAGACGCACCAGTCACTGATCTTGGAGAGCCATTTCTTATACGACATGGCAGCATTTTCAGGCGTCATCTTGATCCTCCCGTCTTCCACTACCTTAAGAGCTTCGCCAGCCATGTCACCCATCTTGATCCACCATTGTTTCTTCATCAAGGGTTCTATAACATCACGCGTCTTCTCGCACAATGGTATCGTCATGGCATGTGACTCTTTCTTGACAAAAAGACCCAATTTAGTCAACTCTTCAACGACGTGATACCGACAATCGAACCGTTTCTGGCCCTGGAAAGAGCCGGTGTTTTCATTCATCGTACCGTCGCCGTTCAAGATGTTGACAAAATCTAAGCCGTGGCGCTGTCCCAGCTGATAGTCATTATAGTCATGAGCGGGTGTAAGTTTGACAGCACCCGTCCCCAGTTCAGGATCGACATAGTCATCTGTCACGATCTTGAGGAGGCGGTTGGTGAAGGGATGGCGCGCATACTTGCCGACAAGGTGAGTATAGCGTGTATCATTGGGATGTACGGCAATGCCAGTGTCTCCCAGCATCGTTTCAGGCCTCGTAGTGGCAACCTCGACGAACAAGTCGGTGCCCTCAATTGGGTATTTGAAGTAAGTCATCTCGCCAAAGGCAACCTTTCTCGTATAGCCGGGCACATCAAGCAGAGTACGGCCAGGAACTTCCAGATTCTCGACCTCGAGCGAGCTCAGGGCCGTTTGCAAGTGTGTACACCAGTTGACTAGGCGATCCGATCTGTATATGAGGCCCTCCTCGTGTAGACGGCAAAAGGCCTCCATGGTAGCGCGGGTACAATTCTCATCCATAGTAAAAGCCTCACGTGACCAGTCCATGGAGCCGCCCATAAGTCGCTGCGCATCGTTGATACGCTGGTGGTAGTCTTGTTTCCATTCCCAGGCGAGCTTCGTAAAAGCATCACGGCCAAGCTCTAGTCTCGTCTTGTTCTCCCGCTTCCACAACATCTTCTCAACAACAGATTGCGTGCTGATTCCGGCATGGTCGCATCCTGGAACCCATAAGGTACTAAGGCCACGCATTCGACTCCATCGGATGAGAGTGTCCTGTATAGTATTGGCTAGGGCATGGCCGCAGTGCAAGGCGCCGGTGACGTTGGGCGGCGGTAATGCAATAACAAAGGTAGAGTCGGAGGGTTCAGCCCGAGGCTGGAAGAACCCAGACTTCTCCCACCACTGGTACCATGACGACTCGACAGCGCTGGGGTGGTAGGCATTCAAGTGAGGATGTTCAAAAGACTGTAGCACTTTCTTCTGCCCAGGCTTTGTAGGATCCTCAAAGGGTCCGAGTGGTGTCTTGCTCTTGCTCGCCTTTTTAGTGACCGATGCCGATGTCGGCGCCAAGGTCGATGCTGACGCCGACCTCAAGCAATACCGTAGGCGCCATATCTGAAGTGGCAATGTCTGTCTGGAACAGCGTCCCAAGACATACATTGATTGTGGAAGGGCGTGCGGTCATTAAAAGGTCGGTACACCAAAAGACTCGTCTGTGGGAACCTTTGAAGCGAGTCGTGAACGTGTCGCGAATATGTGGCTGGGCAGGGGCTGGGCATCAAAGCCACATGTGGCTGATGGGTGTGGCTTGGCGGTTAATTACCGAAGCTAAGCCACCTACCTAAGCTAACCCGTCTGACGGACACCGCCACGGAGTCTCTCCAGACTCATTGGGCTCGGGGCATCGTTCCTATCTACTGGAGGTTGGGACGGGCGGGATTGTCTCGGGATGTTTGATCGCCCAAGGCCTAGAACCCGTCTGCCTCCACCAGGCCCATCCATTGAGCCCGCTCGGTACTACCGCCGTTACATCATGGATCCGGTCTGGTTTAATTACCCCACGTTCGGCCCATCCCGCAAATCGATGGTGGTGACTGGACAACTGCCGTGACATTCCACCGCCATCAATCCAACCATAATAACATTCAAAGGCATCGCGATGGTATTATACATAAACATCTGATGTTAATGTTACTGGTAACTAGTGAGCCACTTAAAATCTCACCTTCAATGCGTGGATTCATCA